TAATAATAATAATAATAATAATTTCTTGTCATTGTAAGTATATACACAGTATACCCATACAACGAAATTACAGAGAAGGAGAAAGACAGAGTGGTCTAGTTCCCATTTGTGAGTTTGGGATTCCTTGTGACTGAGATCTGCCAGATTGTTGTCTTCGCCGGCTATGTGTATTGCTGTGAGGTAGATATGATGTGACAGACACCATTCCCAGAGGTCAACTGCAAGATACAGGAGGCTTGGAGAATGAGTGTTGCCTTGTTTGAGAATATAATACATTGCTGTAGTGTTGTCAGTGGCAATTTGCACCATCTTGCCTGCAAGATGGTCTCTGAAAGCCTTACACACTTTTATCACTACTAACAGCTCTAGTTCACTGATATGGAACAATTTCTCTCTTTCTGACAGGCATGAATTTTTAGGGATTTGCAGTGAGTGCCCCAGCCTGTGAAGCTGGCGTCAGTAGTGACTTGTATTTGAGTACTTGGTTGTTGGAAGGGTCGTCCCATTGTAAGGTTTTGGGTAGAGTGCCACCAAGAAAGTTGGGTGGTGAGTTCCAGAGTGACCCATAATAGGGTGTGAGGAGGGTCTGTCAGTGGGTCGAAAAAAGAAAGGAACCATGCCTGGAGTGATCTCCTTTTGAGGCATACATGCTGTACTACAGATGTCATTGATGCCGTCGTGCCTAAGACACATTGAACTGTTAGTACGGGTATAAGCGCATGAGGGGTGAAGGTGCATAGCAGGGATGTCAAGTTGCATTGCTTGTCTCCTGGAAGGAATGCTCGGGCATGAGTAGAGTCTATGAGTGCCCCTATGTATTGAACAGTCTTGTGGGCTGTAACCTGGACTTTTGTATGTTTACAGCAAGGCCAATACAGTGGTGCCTCGCTTAATGAGTGCACTGTTTAACGACGAATCCGCATAGCGATGTCGCGATGTTTAGATAAGGAAAAACTCACATTGCGATGATCGGTAAGCGTTTCGCTTACCAATCTTCGCATTGCGATGTTTTTACAGCAGCTGATCGGCGGTTCCAAAACGGCTGCCGGACGCCCAAAATTGCCGCCGCAAGTGTTTTCGCGCCCTGCCCTCACTTACCGAGGGCGCGAAAATGGCGGCGCTATGGAGGAACATCGCTGAACGGTGAGTTTAGGGCCCCATAGGAACGCATTAAACTAAGTTTAATGCGTTCCTATGGGGTTTTTTGATCCGTTTAGCGATGTTTCTGCATAACGACGATTAATCCGGAACGGATTAATGTCACTATGTGGGGCACCACTGTATCGCGGAGAAGAGACAGTGTAAAGTGGATAGCTTGTTGTGCCTTGTGACAGGAGCAAGCTACAA